CATATTCTGTATAATGCAAAGTAATTCATAATTAAAGCAATTATCATTCAATTGACAATCGTTCACATGACATCCACTTTATTCTCCTGATCGTTTTGCTTTTCCCATCTGTTTAACAATTCTAAGAAGAATTCGCATGAAGTATTAGAAATAACAAATTAAGGTGCCGCCAGCCTTAAGTGGTACTTGATATCTTAGATTCCCGAGAATTACCGCTTTCCTAGTTACTTATACCTGAATTATGGTGCCAGGAAAATAGATAATGGTCTAAAAAAACATAATATTGCTGACATGTGCCTCGTATCCGTTACAAGTTTTGGAGGACGGTGACATTTTCATCCATAGTAACATTAAAAATGAAGAGATATGCGTTGACGCATGATTTATCAACAAAAATTCGGAAGGGAAAGCTGTGTAGTGTCCTGTCCTTGTCTGAACTTCTTCCATCAAAAACAGCATTGAAAATGATCCAGATGTTCAACTGATGTATGTGCAGGTTGGATTTATCAACCAGGATTCAATACTGAATCGAACTAGATAATATTTCAAAATGTTTTTCTCAACTATCAGCCAATTTGTATGCTAGTAAAAATACTCAACATTGTTGGTTACACCTTTTAAAAAATGGATTGAATCACCACTACGACGATAACTAGTTCTAGTTCGAGTCACTAACGAGTGTGTAAATGATTCGTGCCATGCTAATTGTACCTAATCGAGTTTTCATAAGAGTTCTTTTGAGTTCCAGGCAATTTCTTTGTCTGGGCCATTATCGATGTTTAAAAAAGCTGAGTTGACAAGAACTCTCCATTGTCGCAATGTTTACGACATATGATATCAATGGACTCGAATTCATTTCAATTTGAAGTTATTTTTGAAATCATTTCAATTTACGAATTTCATTCAATCTTTTCGACTAGTCGCAAATGCTTTTTGATTGAAAAACATCGCGAAATGTCGAAAAAACACGATAACATCAGAAATCATTAGCACTCAAGATGCTTTATATAGAGGCCATGATCGTTATTGCGATACCGTTCTAAAANAAAATTTAGTGACGTTCAACCTCTCATAGTGCAGCGAACTGACCTCGCTGATTATAAGTTCGAAATCCTAAATCATTTTAAATTTCAGTTCATCAGACTCCTGATCTATCACTGCCAGAATTATCATGCAAGTTCACTTCTGCCGTCGAACGATGATATTTGTGATTTGCACGTTGCTCATTGCGATGGTACCACAAGGTTTGTGTCAATGGGGTGGTTGCTTCGGAGGAATCGGTTGTGGCTATGGTATGATGGGGGGTTATGGATATGGTATGGGTTATGGCTATGGCATGGGTTATGGCTATGGAATGGGTTATGGTATGGGTATGATGGGATACGGTGGTTACGGCTGTTGCGGAATGTTCGGCAAATAGACGAGAACACCGAGGAGTGGATTCCACGCAAATAAATGAATATGCTCGAATGTTCTACGTAGGACTACTCTACTTGTGTTGTGATCAAATCTAAAATAGAATCACTCATTGCGATGATTATAAGTTGGTCAAGTGAGAATTATTATGATGAGATGATATTATTCGAATTAGAAGTTTTATTATCTTAAAAATCCAATCATTGATATGTTTTCATTCAGGTATTTCACCCATTCACCTTCATGGCTCTTCTTTTGACCACTTTTGATTTTAGTTCATCGGTCCTCCACACTGAACTGATTATTGTGATTATTAAACTTATTGTTGAGTGCATTGAAGAAGATTCACTCATCTCATTTTACTTCCGGCTTATATTTTTCATAGTACATAACGAGTTCTTTACTCATCTTCCGAAATCAATGAACCCACTTATATCGAGCCATCATCGTTCAAAAAAATTCATCAAAACAGATAAAGTATTCTTTAGATAAAGTGGTTTGATGAAATGATCGATTGAAGTGTTTGAAATTTGTTTGCGCATTATGGTATTGAGTTGTGCTTGTTTCCGTTTGGAATATGATAGTTCAACTTATTGAATTGCATGAGATTGTAACAATAAAACATTTATATCTGTGTTCGTAATTAGACAATATGGATGAATTACTTTTACTGCTCTACAATAAATTTGCCATGTTCACCTTCATGCTGATGAAACTGTCTTTCTAGCCGAATGAGCAATGAAGTTTTTGCGGATTTTCTTATCAATTCTTCAAAGCGATAATGAACGAGCGAAAGTGCATTCGATAAATAGTTAAACCACCAACTGAATGTAGAATTCATCACCTATTGCATAAGTGAGTCGCTAATTTTTTATGAAATCTGATCGTAAGTCCCCAAAGGAAACCATTGGTTCGTACGCAAGCGATCGCTCCCTAAAGAGTTCCTCAGATCAGTCACGTCACCGAGGAAACGTTCATGCTAACATGGTTACGAGTTGTTGATGCAAATTTTAAATGAAGATCAACCGGATGCACGTTAACAAGCGAATATATTTCCGATGTCTTTATATATTTCCGAATCAGAAGGGCATTTTTTTATGGAAGCAAAATTTTCGCACTATCGCATAGATAATTAAACGATTAATATGAATGATTCTATCAGAGATGCAATTTCCGCTGTATAATATGCATTCTGATACACCTCCAAGATGGCTTATCCAACAATGACACTATTTCTTTTAGGAATTGTTCGCGTATAGCGCTCAATCAAGTTATATCTCTTTTTGCTGTATTTGCTTGACAGAATTTATGATTACAGATGAGAATTTATTGTCGAATGCTGATTATTTTCAGTTGCTATTGATTCTCTTGGAATCAGATGCGAAGTTGTCGTTCAATTTTAAGTTAAGTTTGCCGTCGAATCAGAATATTTCATTGCATCATATTATCGCTTCACTTCCCACTTGAGTACGGAATAATTTCGTTGATGCTAATTGCGTGATCAATAATTGAACAAATCAACTGATGCATCTTGTTTTGATGTCATCCACTCAGCCTGTTCAACGATTCACGCATGCATGCCGAATATACATGACTGCATAAAATCACTCAACTATCAAGTGGAAATCAATCGAATGGATTGTACGAAATCATTCATCCGCCGCCACTAACCGAAAAAGTTTGAACGAGACCAATGAAGCTCGATGAAGCTTCCGGCTTATCGAGGCTTCCGGCCTCAACATGCTCATTCATGCAATTTGCATTCTGAATTAATCATTTGCTGATTTGGTGCCATCGATTCTGTTGCATGTTCTTTGAGCAGGAGGACGTTGAAGCGAATAGAAATCTCTTGAGAGTGGTAGCAAAAACGGCAACAAGGCAGCAATGACTGCTAGCTGTCCCAGAATCAATAAAAATCTTTTACAAACCAACAATTTACCAGCAAGAACACCAAAGATTCACAAAGCAATTTCAATCATCAATCATATGCGAACAGATTGCATCGTTACAATCAACAACACATCATTTACCTGTCTTTTTTAAATGTACAATATAACTCGTCTGACTTCTGTACACNCGATTAAGCATTGCAAAAACAACAAACAGCAATTATGTAGATTATCAGCTACGAGAGCCTGGCAAAGCCACAAGCCAAGAATTTGTCCACCTTACACACACCAAAATGGCCTAGAGCTCACCAAATGGACCCGACTATGATACAATGAAAATGCATGATACTTTCGTTTTCAGTACAGTGCCATAACTGTTGACTTTACATTGCACCATATCGTGGTGTTAAGAGAAGTTGTGAAAAAGATGTATAGTTCTGAATGGACATCGCACCAGATGCTCAAACATGTCCCACAGCTAATGCGTTGTTCAACTTTCGTCGCTTCAACGCAACGAAATAACAATAGCAACGCCATACTGTATGCAAAAACCATAACTGTAATATCATCTCACCCAGTAGCACCACCATCGTTAATGTTGTACTCACTGCTGAAAAAAAGCTCGAACGAATCTTCACAAAAATTACTGCCACAGAAACGTGGAACTGAAATTCAGTCATATCACAGAAATTATTGGCATTCTTAATAGTTGAAACTAATGGAAACAAGTAAATTTCGAGTGTTTCGAATGCTTTTTGTAAATCGAAATACACAGTTCTCATGAAGACCGTGGCGTGACTGAGCGTTATGGACACATGAAGCTCTAGCAAATTTTCGGCGATCCTAAATTGCGCTCAGAAATGAATGTGATCAGTAAAGCTGTGCACAATCGGGAATTTTGGAACTGAATGTTAAGGTAGTTTGAAAATGGCACCAGAATACACTAGGAAGGAGAA